AGATTCAGGCGCTCCAGATTGGCCTCGAGATTGCCGCCTCGATCTCCTCTCATGTCTGGATTGAGATGGATGCTGCGGCTGTCATCACACTTTTGACATCTGGCCACCAGAGCTCATGGCAGATCCAGCATCCCCTTATGCGTATCAGAGACACCCTCCGCTCGATCCATTACCAGGTCTCACACATATTCCGGGAGGGGAACCGGCCTGTCGATTTTTTTGCTAGCACGGGGGCATTTATACCCCAGAGACGCACCCTTCTTCCTGAGGACATTCCCCTCATGCTTCGGACGCTCATTCAGATGGACCAGTTAGAGTACCCCCATCCTTCAGATTCGGTCGACCGCCACCTCCTGCCCCTGACTAGATTTGACATTGTGGACTCCATGTCAGGTCACTCTGACCAGGACGATCTTTTATGAGGATTTGATTTTAGATCCACAGCGGATATTTTTGTGATCCTTGTATTTTTATTTTTATTTTTATTGTTATTTTCTCTCCTTTTGATGTTGCTCTTTGTATTTCCGACTTGGATGTAGACCATTGACTTTTTAGCCCTAGCTGGGCATTATATTCACAGGTCGGGGGTGTAGCCTCAACCCCCATCCTAATCTGGGATGTTTATATATATATAAAAAAAAAGGTTTAAATATACTTATACTTTAAATTAATCAAGTATATTATAATTTTACAACTTCTAATAGACATTAATAAAATTCAAATTTTATAACATAAGAGTGTATACCTAAATTCTGACATGCCAACAACATAGACATGCTGCAATTATATACTTACACTCAATACATTTTTTATTTTTAAAATTGTGAATACAATTTTTTACTAGCACCCGTGATACACAGAACACCCTCTACTATTACAAATTCATCCTCACCCATGAAAACACACTAAATTAAAAATAATAATAGATCATTAAACACATTATGACATGATAGACCAATTGGTGAAACTCAAGGAACCAAACCCATGTAGTCTCCCACTCCATAAGGCTCAAAAAGCTCGGACATAAGTCCCTTCTTTCTCCTTGGGTTAAATCCAATGTCTTTGCAGAGTTGATCATTGTACCAGATGTGAGCACCTCCAATACAAGATCTTCTGAACTTGCCATTGCCCGCATACCTCTTCATGAACTCGTCCCAACTCTTTATTTCCTTTTCCATTTCCTTCACGCTCGGCAATTCGAAGGCCTCGTCTAGAAAAAAGGCGAGCCATTTGCACCTCATCTCGAATGTAAAAAGATTTGCGAGGGACTCTGAGAAGCCTATTACTGCTAGCTGCGGTATTCGTGGATGGATCATTTGTCTGCAATAGAATGAAAAAAGAGAGAAAAACCAAAAAAGAATTTTAGACCAAAAAAAAATAAGGACAACAAAATAGCTTGATTTGAAATTTGAATTTATAATTACAATAACAATCTGTGAATAAGTGCAACAGTAACTGTGAGCTCTGAACAATACCTGTAGAGAGGAATTATGGAGCTCTCAGAAGCAGATATCAAGTTCTGGAAAGTTGGAGAGCCAAACATCCTCTTAAGCTTCTCCTCGCCTTTGTATCCGGTGGCAAAGATGACAATATCTGCTTTTAGAGGAATATTTTGTCCATCAAGGATCAAACCTTCATTGCAGAAGCTAAGTTGCTTTGATTTCCTGAAAACAATGCTTCCATCTTCCACTTTGTCGAAAAAGTTGTCGGGCAAAAAGAATAGCTGACAAGACGAGACTTCCTGAAGAAAGCTTTCTTCCGGAACCATATCATACTTTTTCAACGGAATCTTCCATTTAACATAGCTTTCCACAAACTTAGATAATGCCCACCGCTGAATGAAATAAGTTAGACAGATGAGTTTTATACTAAAACTCATCATAAAATTAGACACAAACACATGATAAAGAGCATGCATCTTAAATTTATGCACAACAAGATGGTTACCAAAGGTGAAAGTGTTGTTGCTAATAGACTAGAAAAGACCCCTTCTCCAGGCTTATGAACCAAAAGCTCGACAAAACGGGTGAAGCACAAAAAACCAAAACTAACACCCCATGGCTTATGATCGGGCAGCATCCAGTGAACTGTCCGTGGGATAACCGTGCATGGATTATCGTTGCCTGATGATTCAAGGAAATAGCATATATTAAAGTTCTGGATAATTAGGAAGCGATCATTATTCATCTACCTATAATATAATCTTTTTACCATTGGCATTTGCACATTCAAACGCTATGTCGATTGCTGATTTGGCCGAACCTACAATCACAACCTTTTTCCCTTTAATCAACTCGGCTGCACTTGAGTTATCCATGGAGGCAAAATCCATAGAGTGCAAGACGGTTCCCGAAAATACATCAGGCCCGCATCCCGGAGCAAATTCAGGAGAATCTGGTAAACCACTGAATCTTCCAATACAGAGAACTACAAATTCAGCTGCATACTCCTGTCAACAACCACCACGTGCCACTATATAAATTCTCGATCACAATGTTTTGGTGAAACTCATTCTACAATAAATTATCAATTTAGTACTACCGCAAAAAAACAAGGTCCACAAACCAAGTCCAATTATATGGCGGAATATATCAAATATAGTATAATTCTTCATTTTATTTTCCATCAAAATACACGACTTAACTCGGGTTTGCTTAAAATAAACCGACAAGCAAAACGAGACTTGAAAAATTTGAACATTAATCATTATCTATTATGTTACTTTTACTTCTTTGTCATCAGAAGCAAATACATTTGATGTTTTCAGATATACGAACACAAATGCCAGAAAGATCACATACAACATGAATAAAAAAGCATAACGGATCAAGAAAAGAACGATATTTTATTACACTATATTTACATTTATCAATTGAATCAATATACCTTTACAGAGCCATCTTTGGTGTTGACAACTTTGAGATGCCACTTGCCCTTGGACCCAAAAGCTTTGCCAGTCCCACCCCACAGCTCCCAATGTTGTATATCCTCAACAGGCCCCTCATAATCTATGCTCATCACTTTGGAATCGAACTTTATGTACTGCAGAAGCTGGAAATCCCGAGCATAAGAGTGTAGATAGTGCTGCAGCTGAGTATTGTGAGGGAACGTGTCTGCCGATGAAGGCCATGGGAAATCGGAGAACTCGAAGCTCTGTTTGGGAACCTGAAGCCTAGTGGACTCAATGGTGTGGTTCCAAAGCCCGCCCACCTGATCTTGGGCCTCGAACACCATGGGGCTAAAGCCTTTGGATGCTGCATATTTGCAGGCCAGGAGCCCGCTGATTCCAGCCCCGACTATGGCCACCCTTTTCTCCATGCCTCTCCACTCTCGTCTTTTACAAGACTTTGAAGGATGGCCAGCTCCTGCACGTCTTGGAAAATATATTTTGATGTGAAGATGATAAGAGAATCAATCCTCATGTGCTATATATGCTTTGGTGGAAGCTATGATTGTTTATTTATTATTAGGAAAAAGTGATGCTTTCAACAACTGTAGGATTACCGAATCAATGACTCAATTCGACAAATAGTACAAACAAACGGGTTGGTAATTTGAGAATATTTTTACATTCTTTGTACTTCATAACTAGCTATATCCTATATGAAGGTTTTGTAATGAGGAACATTTTTTTTTTACAAGTTTTGGTGTAGCTAGACATAATTGAACTAATAGTCAAACTTAATTAAGACGGATCTATTTAATGTGTTGATAATGTTTTAATATTGAAGGGCTCAAAATTCATATTGTTTGACTTGGGACATAACTTATATCTGATCATGAGGAATATTAGTCTCTTCTCCTGCATTTACTACTATACATGCATGTACTACTACATAGCTCATATGAATAAATAAATAAATAAATAAATCAACATCACATTTTTGAATGGAAGACACTTGGAGGGAGAATCCAATCATTGGCATGACCACATGAGCTAAATCTCCAATGGTTAAAGTCATGCATGCAAAGGAATAATAACTTCAATTGTTATGTATTATTGTATTTCAACATGAAATGCTCGTGCATGAACTCATGCTTTAAAAATAAAAATTGGAAATTTGGTCCCACTCGTTTGGGCCAAAATCACAATTGATACCAAAAGTTGCATTTGTGGTCCTTTTTTATTTCTTTTTGCAAAAATAGTCCCATAGCTGTCAAAACTAACAGGGCTCACGTGAAGACATTAGCAACTTTTGGGACCAATTTTGCAATTTGTTGAGATCAACCGTGTGGGACCAATTTTACAATTTTCCCAAAAACAACAAAATAAAAAAATAAAAATGAGTTCTTCAAGTTCGTTGGTTGAAATTTAAAAAGTAAAGTATTGCAGCCGGTTGGTTGGTTGAAATGGCGTCAAGCTTCGTGCATTCTACGTGATAAAAGGGTGCTACAAAGGCTAAAAGGTAAGTTCTATAGGACGGCGATTCGCCCGGCGATGCTATATGGTGCCAAATGTTGGCCTACAAAAGGCAACATGTCCAACAACTAAGTGCAGTAGAGATGCGTATGTTGCGTTGGTTTTGCGGGCACACAAGGGATAGAACACCGGAATGAAGATATTCCAGACATGGTCGGAGTGGCTCCAATTGATGAGAAATTGATTCAACATCGGCTGAGGTGGTTCGGACATGTACAGCGGAGGCCTCCCGATGCACTGGTGCGTAGGGAATTCTACAGCGGGTCGATGATGTAAAGAGAGGCAGAGGTCAGCCTAAACTCACTTGGGAAGAGTCAGAGTCGGTTAAGAGTCGGTTAAGAGAGAGAGAGCTTAAAGATTGGAATATCTCCAATGATTTAGCGGTTGGTAGGACCGCTTGGAGGCTAGCAATCAACGTGCCAGAACCGTGACTTTTGCTCCTTTCTCTTTTGCTCCAATCTCTTCCTTTTGTTTTTGAGCCCTTTTTGTGTTTCTCTTACCATTGGTTCTCTTGGGTTTCATCTCTAGTCTACCCCAACTTGTTTGGGATTAAAAGACTATGTTGTTGTTATTGTGGAGTTCTTCAAGTTCGTAGAGAAGCCAAATTATTTGGAAAATTGACATTTTGTCAAATAGTTTGACTTACTTTAGAGGAATTTTTTAAATGAAATTTAAAATTATTATTTTGATCTTATTGTGCACCTTAATTTTCAAAATTGTAGGCCAAAATATTGTCCATTTATTGGAATATGATGTGTCCTATTTTCATGAAACATATACGTATCAACAAATTTGTTTAAAAACACAAATATATTTGAAAATCCAAATATGCTTAAAAGAAGAAGTTAGAAAATTTATTTTTAATTATTTTTATAACGAACATTTTTCAAAAATATTTTAATAATTGTTAAAAAATATATCACCATTAATTCCTAACGACAAGTTATTTTATTTTTACTAAATTATAAAAGATAAATATAACTAATAAAGATAAACAATTGTTTAACAAATTCTATTTTTTTTTGCAACTTAAAAGAGTACGTGAGAGAATATGTTTAAATTACTATTATTAACATTTTTCAAAAAATTTAACGTAAATGTTAAAAAGTAACGATATGTTTATTTTGATTATTAATAAACTATGAAAAATAAATATAACTAATATAAAATTCTTTCCAAGTTTTAATTTTTTTCGCAACTTAAAAGAGTAAGAGAGAATATTTATTTAAATCATTTTTTCAAACAATTTTTAGTAAATGTTAAAAAGTATATTACCATTCTTTCCTAACAAAACATTTAGTTTGTTTTTAATAAATTATAAAAGATAAATATAATTAATATACAATTCTGCACTTTTATTTTGTTGTTGCAAATTACAGTTTTACTTGATTTGTTTTACATAGAATGATTATTCAATCGAGTAACTTAACAAAAAATAATTTTATTAGTTAGTTCATGATAAATGAGATGCAAAAAAATTATACTGACATATTTTACTATAAATAAGTGGGAACAAATGACTATTTTTACTAAATATAATGCCAAACTTTGTTTTATTATGCTTAAATTTGACAATTTTTTTATGAAGATTTAATCTTTACAAATAAATAGATTTTTTTCAATTTATGGTTGTGAAAATCAAATCAATAAATAAAAAATTTTAAAATATTCTTTCTAACAAAATAGACAATAGTAAAAAATTAAACTAGAGTAGTTTTTTTAATTCGTATTATTTCATAGAGTTTGGAAGGATATGCAAAAATTATCATATTATACTATTATTTAAAAGTGTAGACACATTAATATTATTGAAAACATACTCACATTTTTTCTTTTTTTGATACATTGGAATATGTCTTTTGGTTTGCTTTATTTAACTAAAATAATTTAGATTTCTAATTATTCCTTAATTTTAATAATATTAAAAATAATTGCCAATATTTTCAATGTAATGACAGTAAAAAAATTAAAAAAAAAAATTACTCATTTAGCAATTCTACCGTTTACTTTTCCACCCAAATTTATCAATGCCCTCAATAAATATTTCACATAATTTTTGTTTTTTATATAAAAATTCTTCAATTGTGTGACTTATCACAAAAAATGAGTAAATCACGTTCATGTTTCTCAATATTTAATTTATAAGATTAATTTAAATATCAACCCGATGTTTATAAAAATTTACCTTTAATATTTATTTCCCGCATCATACTCATAATAAATTAATATTATTACGTCGTTTTGACTTTGAGTGAATGAGAAAGGCTGATTCCACGAATTTTTTACCAGAAAATTATAAAAAAGTTAAGTTGTGGAAAAAAAATACACAAACAAATGAGAGTGGACCATAATAAAAAACCCGTATTCAGTGAATACGTTTTACCATTTTTTTAATTGTAAAACGTATTCATTGAATACGTTTTCTTTTGTAAAAAATTCTGAATAAACGTATTTAAGGATTACGTTTTCTGTAAAATTTGTATAGAAAATGTATTCCTTAAATACGTGCTTTTCATTTTTGTCCACTCCCTTTTTTTTTCTTTTTTTTTGTCCACATGTTTTTTTATTTTTTTTATTGGTAAATTGCTCCTGATTCCACTTTCAAAATAAAAAATAGGAAATTGCAAAATTTGTCCCATATGATTGGTCCCAAAAGTTGCTAGTCTTACACGTTAGTCCTTTTAATTTTAAACATTATTTAAACCTAAACTCAAATTTCTACTTTTGAATTAAACTAGATCATATATGTGTATCTTGACTATTTTAAATATAACTTTTACTATTTTATAGATATTTGACTGACTCTGCAACTTATAAAAGGACTAGAAATGTTCCCCTACCACGGTGTGCACATGTTAATATGCCCATCGCGTAGGTGGCATGCACTCATTGGTGATGTACTTTTTTAAACATATCAATATCACCAATGAGTGCATGCCACCTATGCGGTGGGCATATTAACATGTGCCCACCGTTAGTAGGTGAGCATTTCTCATAAAAGGACATACCTAAAACACTTATGAAGACATTAATACTGAAAAGCAAGGTAAGATGATGGAAAACGGTTCAAAAGTCAGGAATACTTTGTCAAATGGACAAAAAATAGCACGCATGGTGTTTGTATTTTGAGCATAATGTTTAATAAACAAAACAGGTATTGAACTAATTCTTGCTCCTAAAAAAAACTCACGAAACATATCTACAACTTTGGTAAAGACTCGAAACACAAACAAGCATTTTAGAAGTGAAAAGGTGATTGATTTTGGAAAATAACAGAAACAGAATTCTTCCGAAGACTCCAAACTCTTACGAGCAGGTTAGGAAATAGGTAAATTAGGCAATTCTTGTCCCTAAACATCACAAAGGGACATCTCTTCAACTAACTTCCAAGAAGATAGTTAAAACGAAAAAGAATTTTAGGTAAATGAAAACATCTCATAAATTGGGACACAGTACTGGCACGAAACAGCCTGCGCATTGATCGCATTTGGACCGAAACCTTTTACATGAAACTGATAATCAAGTAGTTCATGTGGCTACAGAAAGATAAAAGGTCGAACTTCAAGTTACGTAGAGTTAAAAAACAGGCGCGGCTAAGGTTCGAAGATCAAAACATCATGTGAACAGACAAACGGAAATGCAGCACTATCAAATTCTCAAAAAGATACCCCAGACTATAACACACTTTCACTTCAGCCCCAAATCGGTCGTATAACTGCATACATCCATGTTCACCCCTCCAAGCAATCACAACCTAACTGCTACTTAATTGGGACCTCAACACCTCAATCACATACACAAGAGCACAGACGCGAGACACACACACACATAGTCAACGCACATACAGTACACACATCATTCAATCGAGAGGACGCACACACAGTTATCAAAATTGTTT